GGGAAACAAAGTGAGTTAGGAGGTGCAGAATGCACACTTAGAAATATTGTCTCTAACATCTTATGTCGTCGATAGGTGGGGGTCAAGGGGGTCACGCCCCCTGGTAAGGTGCAAATGGCAGCGCCTCTGGTGGTGGAAGAGTTTTATTTAGGCATTGTTTGACAAATATAAGCTAGCTTATTTTTTGTGTACATGTTTGGATGATCATAAGTTAGTTTATTGAAATGCTACTTAGAGTAGCGTTTTAGGAACTTATTGTAATTTTTTCTAATTATAGATCCATTAATATTAATTACTATTACTATTAATAATAATTAAATATTAATATTGTCAATTATAACCTTTATTGTAACTTGTTTCGGTTACAACCCTGCATACATACATACATACATACATATGTATATACACATACACACATAAATGTAGGGGTTAAGTTCTAGTGAGAATGAGTTGTTAAGGTGAGAAACGTGAGAAATGATCTCCACCCTTAGATGCACATTAGGATAAGATGCACTAGATCGATCCTCGTATCAAGTGTTATTTATGGGTGAATTTGAGATTACAGATGATCAAGGGTCCAGATCATTTCTTACGCTTCTCATCTGAACTCTCTTTCTCATGTTATCCCTCGCCTAAGTCAGCATACACAAATGTTTGTATATGATAAGGTTACTATATATCCATACACCGTGTAGATACTTGTATTCATACATATATACATATAGATACTTGTATTCATACATATATACATACATGAATTTTCAAGAAAAAAATAACGACTAAATTAGTCATATCACTAGTTATTATGACGAAGATGGATAACCTAATATGACTCAAAAAGAAATTCATTCCATTGGGATTTTTACGAGACGCTTTTTGAAATGCGTCGTACTTGTACATATGAAATTCTTTTCAAGAAGTGTCATTTTAAACACTTTCTCATAAGTGTCTGATAAAATGACTAATACAATTCTTGCTTGATTATAGTGATATTTATCCTGAACACTACTAAACTGAAAAGAGTTTTACCTACATATTTTCCCTAGGAAATTCTCGCTAAAGGGGTGATTCGTCACAAAAACACCAAAAAAGTTGGTGGAAACTCAAATCAGTGACAGACTACGCAGGTATTTTCTAGATGATCTGTCGGTTTTTTGTTGAAAAGCTTCGGATTCTACTGGAACCATTGATATTTTCTGGGTAATTTGTCAGTAATTACAGACGAAAAATTTTATGGATGATTTTTTTGGGTAAAAGTAATTTGTTTTGTAGTGAAATAATCATATACTTGGATAGAAAAACAGATTTGTGAGCTCCGTACAAGTTCAAAGTTTTGGGCTACTAATAAATTTCACCACAGTTTTAAATTGTATTAGAAGTTATTAGGTAACCTGTTGCTTTGGGCTTGGGGCCTTGCAACTTTTACAAATGATATTAGAGTCGTGTTACAATATGTTATGGTATATATACTTTATATATATATATAAAGTTTAAGGATTGTGTAACTTGTAACGAGACTAAAAAGAAAGTTTGAATTAACATATAACAAACTAATGTATGAACGTTGAGATATTTTATGACTGGAGTTGTTTTATGTTCTTACTGGCCAAACATTTTGCAGTTCTCAAATATCGGTGTGTGCGGAGTAGTCGTATGTCATAACCTATGTATGATATGTAAATTTCTAAGGGTTGTTACTCGCCGTTACTTGTTTAGCATGAAAATATGGGAAATGAAAAGATCAAGTATTGTTTTTACCTTGATGTATCAAAATGTATTTTTTCCCCTTTTGAGTGTCTATCACGTATCATATGTGTGATATTATGTTATATGGTGTTGGGTAGGGGTGCTCATGGGTTGGGTTGATCGGGTTGTGGACATTTGAACAACCTAACCCAATGCTTCCGGTTTGGAAAAATCTTAACCCAACCCAACCCAAACCAAAGTGCAACCACAACCCAACCCAACCCAACCCGTACGGGTTGGTCGGGTTAGTCGGGTTGATACTTTGGTAGATTAAAATATTCTTCTAACCTTGAATATGTTATTTCTCTACTCATAATTTCTTTTTCATCATCAATCATTTGATACAACTTATTCATATTTCTACGTATATCATATTCAGTTAATTTTCTCAATTTACATATGTATGTTCACAGTTACTGAATGAGTTATATAGAGATATGAATAGACTGAAAATATGTGTATATGAAAAACATACATGATAGTGTAATTGTCTAATGTATATATTAATAGAAATTCAACAATTATATTAAATCCAAGAAATAAAAGAATATCGGGTTCATCGGGTTGGGTTGGGTTCAAATAATAGTAACCCAATATCAACCCAATACCTACGGTTTGACAATTTTACAACTCGATTAGATATTGGGTTGCTTCGGGTTGGGTTATTTCGCATTGAGTTATGTTGAGTTGATCGGGTTAGTCGAGTTAGTCGGGTTTTTGAGCACCCCTAGTGTTGGGTTCACAAAAAAACCCTCTGTATTACTTGGAGCTGGTAAAGAGATAAGAGTTGTATACATCCTACGTTTCTCATATCCTACTCCATGTGAAATTTACTGGCTGGGTTTGGGTTGATTTGGTTTTATATCAATACTACATATATAAAATACTCTACTAGTATATATGGCCAAGATGTCGTTACATGTATTCCTAGGTTAGGGACACAGTCTGTAACAACGGTCTGTAACCCATGAAGAGAAATGATGTGTATGAACTTTTTTAACTACGACATACAAGATTCAGAAGTTAACGTTTTTGGGTATATGAAGAATAGCCTTACAATATGGTTCATCGTTATGTACAAAAACTTCACGACGATGCCACTAATCTTGGGGATCACCAAACAGGTCGAGGTTATAAATGCTGACAGTGAACTATCTTGTGTAAGGGTTCAGAGGTGTTCATATTTGCAGTCCTTGATTGTTGATCATGTTTTTGCAAAAAAAAAATATATTAGGATCATATAAGCAGGAGTTGTTTAAATGAAGTACCACGAGTAATAAGTTGTCGGTTAATAAATCAATTTAGGTTTTTCAATGGAATTCGAGCTAATTTAAGCCTAATTTTCGGTTCCCCAGTTGAAATATATTCAGAATCAACCGAAGACAAATCTGAAGGACTAAATATGTTCATCGTGACCTAATTCATGACAATACTCCGAGAAATTACTTAAAATCAGATAAACATAGTTAATACTGAAATATCTAAAATAGATGATCTGTGTAGTTTTTTTTTTTTTTTTTTAAGACTTTAACTTTAACTTTAATTATAAATTATAAAAATAATATGTTAAATATGGTTTTAATATATAATTTTGGCGGCTAATAATTAAACAAGTAAAGACTATGTAAAGTAGAAGGAGTGAAAGTGCAATTTAATGAAAGTATAGGGGAAAGAAGTGGTAAGTACGGAGTAGGGGTGATATTAGATGAACAAAATGGTCAAAGTCAACCCAACTCTCTCTTCCTCGCATCCCACACGCCCTTTCTGCATTCTAACTGACATGCCCCCCACACCATTCCGCCCTTACCACTCCCTCTACTCACGTTTTTCTTTTAATTTTCACATCATTTTATAAAATATTTTAAATATAAATCATCTGGTTTATCGAATTATACAAATCAATTAATTGAGATATTTATATAAAAAAATATTTATTATGATTTAAATATTTATAAAAATAATTAGATATATTCAATTATGAACAATAATTTATATTATAAAATAATCATCTGGACAGTTGAAAGTTGTTTGTATAATAAACCACCTATATATAGCGCGAATCATTTACAAACTAATCTTAACTGTCAATCTAGTTTATTGAATCTTTGGTTCAATGAATATCTCGATTGTTTTCTAATACAAAACGTTGATCATAATAAATGAATTCTGATAATTTTTTTATAATCATAATAAATAAACCTCATCATTTCTTTAAATATCTCAATTAATTGGTTTGTAAATGAAACATTCAACCCCCCAAAAAAAAAAAAAAAACTCTACATATATAGGTAAATGATCGTGTGAGAAAAGAAGTTATGGTGAGAAATGTAATAAGAGATTTGAATCCTTAATCACTTTAATCTCATGCCACCCATGAATTGCATTTTAGAAAGGAATTGATCCAGTGCATCTCGATGTATCTCGTTAGTGTTGACGTTTAATTAGGATTTTATCAAAGAGTGAAGATTTCTTCTTACACTTTTCACCATAACTTTTTTTCTCACCGGAAACCAACTCTATATATAAAGGAACGAAAGATCGTGTAAGAATAAAAGTTAAGATAAGAAGTATAAGAAAAGATTTATACATTTGATCACTTTTAATCTAAAAACAATCCATGAATTGTGTTTTAGAAGAAAATTGATCTGATGGTTCTCATTAGTGTTGATATAATGGAACTCTTCAATTATAATTGAACCAAGAGTGAAAATCTCTTCTTACTATAACTTTTATTATAATGTTAAAAATATATATTTTTAAAAAATTATCCTTCCAAAACAACTTCAAATATGTTTATCAAATCAAATTCACAGGTACATTTGTTGTTTAATAAAAAAACTTAACTGTATATTTATAAGATAACCTGTTAATTAATAAATTAATCATGTTTAATAAAAACTATATAATAATATGATTTCCATCTTAAAGAATTTTGAATATTTAATTGTTTTTATTATAATTATAATTATAATTGTTTTTGTTGGAATTAATTTATTAAATAAAAGTAATTATTTAAGGATTCTGACAGAAAAGAAAAAACAGAAAAAGCGAAAATACATACAAAAAACACATCTGCAGAGCTCCTTCGGAAAAAACCCATCTCCCTCCCATCCGGCTGTTAGATGAGCTGGAGGCCAAGATTCTGTGTCTGTGTGTGTAGCTGTCCTAACGGTGTTCCCTCTTTCACTCCTTTTCCCTTACTATATATACCTCCCTTCCTTCCCTCCCTTTCTTCTATCCAAATACCATCAAACCCTTAAACTTAACAACATCCATGGAATTCATTACCATCTCCTTCTCTCTATTCATTCTCCTCTCCACTCTCTTTCTCTTCAAATCTTCCGTCGCCGGTCGCCGGAAAAACCTCCCTCTTCCTCCCGGAACACTTGGCTGGCCTTACATCGGTGAAACCTTTCAGCTTTACTCTCAAAACCCCAATGTCTTCTTCGCCTCCAAAGTCAAAAAGTTAGTCGACCTCCATTTTTCCTGATTTCTTGGATGGGTTTCTTCCATGTTTACCGATTCTAATTTTGACTTTCTGTTGTTTTTCAGGTATGGTTCCATCTTCAAGACCCATGTTTTGGGTTGTCGTTGTGTCATGATTTCAAGTCCGGCAGCTGCTAAGCTTGTTCTCGTGACCAAGTCTCATCTTTTTAAGCCCACATTTCCGGCGAGTAAAGAGAGAATGTTGGGCAAACAAGCCATTTTCTTCCACCAAGGTGATTACCATTCAAAATTGAGACGTTTGGTTCTCCGAGCATTCACGCCGGAATCCATCAAGAACATCATCCCTGACATCGAATCCATCGCCGTCGATTCGCTCCGGTCATGGGAAAACCGCCTCATCAACACTTTCCAAGAAATGAAAACAGTAAGTCAAACAAAATTTCAGACCAGAAACCAAAACCAACAGCAACAACTCTGTTTTTTTCCTGTGTCTGGTTTCTGATCATTCTGATTGTTGTGTCTGTGCTGTGCAGTTCACCTTCAATGTCGCACTGCTTTCCATTTTTGGAAAGGATGAAGTGCTCTACAGAGAAGATCTCAAGAGATGCTATTACATTCTTGAAAAAGGGTATAATTCCATGCCGATTAACCTCCCAGGAACCCTATTTCACAAATCGATGAAGGCTAGAAGGGAATTAGCTCAGATCTTGGCCAAGATTCTTTCACTCAGAAGAGAAACCAATAAAGAAAACCACAATGATTTACTGGGTTCGTTCATGGAAGAAAAAGAAGGACTCTCCGACGAACAAATCGCCGACAACATCATCGGCGTCATCTTCGCCGCCCGTGACACCACCGCCAGTGTCCTCACTTGGATCCTCAAGTACCTGGCTGAGAATCCCACTGTCCTACAAGCTGTCACTGTAAGAAAACCACTCAAAATTCCATCTTTTTCTTTCTTTCTTGAAATCAAACGCATTTGATTTCAATAGAAAATGGCAACTTGACATCAACCCATTAATTTAATGAAGCTAAAATGTTTGACTTTTTAGGATGAACAAGAAGGGATAATGAAGGGGAAAGATGACAAGAGTTTGACTTGGTTAGATACCAAGAAGATGCCTATAACTTCAAGAGTCATTCAAGAAACCCTCAGAGTTGCTTCTATCCTGTCTTTTACCTTTAGAGAAGCTGTGGAAGATGTTGAATTTGAAGGTTTGTTTTTTAATTCTTTTAATTTAAAATTAATTTATTGGTTGTACAAATGTCATGTGTTTTATTTGAAACAAACTATATATATATATATATATATATATATATATAAAGGTTCCAAAAATAATCTTGAAATTGGCTTATTCAGGCTACCTTATTCCAAAAGGATGGAAAGTACTGCCTCTCTTCAGAAACATTCACCACAGTCCCGAAAACTTCACCAACCCCGAGAAGTTCGACCCGTCAAGATTCGAGGTAAAAATCGTAACTTTATAAACTAATCATGACAATCAACGTATTTTTCGTTACTGTTACAAAATCTTAAGACTAAATTAATCTACTGTGATTTGGCAGGTTGCACCAAAGCCCAATACTTTTATGCCATTTGGCAATGGGACCCATGCTTGTCCAGGAAATGAGCTTGCCAAGCTGGAGATATTAGTTCTTTTACATCATATGACCACAAAATACAGGTTGGTGAAGTCCATCTTACGTTACTGAAAGTTGAGATGTATACAAATTTGACTTCTATTTAAAAAGTAGAGCGGTTTTTTTCACGAATACAAGTTATTGATAAACGTGTTACGTATTTATGTGCAGGTGGTCAATGGTAGGCCCACAGAATGATATCCATTATGCTCCATTTGCCCTTCCACAAAATGGTTTGCCTATAAGATTCTACCCCAAGAAAATGCCCTAAAAAGGGTCACAACAAGACCTTATGGTTCAAGGTTCAAAATCTCGAGGTTCGGGTTTGAGGGTATCCGGAATCTTGAGACGGGGTGGTTGAACGTATTTGAATCCAAAGGTTGGTCGGTGTGCAAGAACAAGACACGTCAAAAGAGACTTACTATTTTTAGATATAAGGGTGTTTGACCGATTTAGTCATTAAAGAAAAAGGATAAAGGAATCATCATGAAGAGACGAGGAGATTATGTCTAAGGCATAAGAAGACTCGAAAAGGACACCAAACTGTACATAAAGAGAGCTTCCTTAAACCAATAAGAAGAGAACCGTAAAGATTCGTGATGATTCCGTAATAAATAGCAAGGTAGGGGGTGCGAAACGTGATCGATTATAGCATATATAATTAGGTCATACCTTTTTTAACGAGTTTAGTTAAAAATACCAAGTGAGGAGACGTTATTAACTTTCTTTTCTTGTATCAAGTCCGCAAGGCATTTAAATAAAATTTTGTTTATTGTTTCGTAATTTTCGACAACTGAAGTTTAAACCATGCATGACAATTCTGTGTGATTTCTGATATCTGCTTCATTCATTTGGTCTATCGGTTGATCATACGTAACGGTCCATTTCTGGTAACCTATTCGTCTACATCAACCTTTTAAATTGATAACAACGTGAAATATTTGTTCTTTTCCGTTTTTGTCCTTATACCTCTCCTACCCAGACCACAGGTTGGTGATCAAGCATGATTCGCCAAGTCAGTAACCACACATTTAATTGATTGATCAGTGTCATGCATCGAAGATACGAGAGGTGGGTAATTGACTCAACAGGAGAGAACAAATAATATCGTAAATTCTTCTTTGTCTCTACCTTTTGCTTATCCTTTTCTTCTCTATCGAGCTTTTATAATACATGACGGAGTTAACTCTCTAAAATATCGTATTTTTTAGTTGCACCTGATTCGTTCAAGTTTTCTGAAACCGTATGTATATGAACTATAGTTGTTATTTAGACCTACGATCGCTTAAGTTTTCAATATAGGGGACCTTTTTTTGAGAACTTTCTAAATTATGAGATATTTGAGAACCAGTACATCATGTGTTATTTCATATGATTTTTTTTTTTCATTTAACTATTGTATTTAATGTATTGATTAACACATATTTGTTTCATAGTGTGTTTGTTTTCACGTGTGCTCAATTCACAAAGTGAACCTTTTTGATGTGTTTGTGAAACAAAAAATACACGTAAAAATGTTTCATATTGTGAACCAAATAAACATGAAATATATATATATATATATATATATATATTAATCAATACATTGTATATACTATACCTATATATGTGTGTGTGTAGAGAGAGAGAGAGAGATTCAGAAGAAAAAAACCCAAAAAATGAAAAATCGAGAAACACTCTGGTAACTATTCATCTGGATGGTATGCACATATGCATACAAGTAATTGAAGTTACTTCTTGATTTTTATGCACATGTGCATACCAGAAAAATTGCTTATAACTTACTTGTATGCATATGTGCATATCATCCAGATGAATGTTTACTAGAGTATTCATTAGTTTTTTTTTTAATGATTTTTCTCTAAATCTAACCCTATATATAGAAGATGATTATAGTCCATTAATTATGATAATGCTTTATATTTGAAAATAATCGAGATATTTATTAAATCATATATTAATTAGACCAGATGGACGATTGATATTAATCTATATATATATATATATATATATTAATATCAATTCTCAACCCTTGGATTAGATCTACAATCGTCAGATTTGAACATTCATAAACGCCACAAGACTTCTCAATAATTACAAAATTACCACGGTGCAATTTTATACCATTAGATCATATGCTTATAAAGTTGATCAATGAACATAAATTGATCTTACGGGTCTCACGAAATTTTTTTGATCTCACATAAACCCAATTATATATATATATATATATATATATATGTGTGTGCGCGCGCGCGCATAAAAGATTAGTGTGGGCTACAATTAGTATCTACAACTTCTAAATGAAATGAAACCATGAGCCTCTTATTTGATAGAGTGATTGCTACAAGGCCAACTTGGCCCTCATGTTCAATAGATTGTAATATACTTTTGATATCGTCTGATTTGAGATATAATTTAATAAAACTGTTTTATTATGAATAAAATATTATTAAATATATATGGATCAGAACAAAGTAAAAAACTTATAAACAATATTAAAGTTACCAATAAAAAATAGTAACTTTTTTGGGTTCGATATTCTCTCCCATCTCTTCTCGTTCTCTGTAATGGTTAACATACACGATTTTCGTACACTGTTCTTGTATCGTTACTCTTTTTATTCTTTGCTCTTACGATCTATCCTTGACAATTGCGCAATCTTTTTCGTCAAAATCTGATTCTGTAAGTTCGTTCATATATCTAGTCAATTAGGGTCGACTCCATTTACCCGCAGCCTCAAATCAAATTAAGTCTATTCTAATTGGTTTTGTGTTGACCAAGTCAATTCCTATGCGTTCAACATTTTTATTAACTATTCCACTTGTCTTTTCGAACAATAGCAAGTTATTCAAAAGTTACCGTCACAATCTCATTTTTCATATCTTATGCATTATAAAAGTTTGACGACCCAACACCCCAACAAACCTCTGTACCATCACGTACAAATTCAAGAAAGCAATAATCACATGACACTTAGAACCCTAGTTTTTTTTATTCATTTGTGAATAATGCATTTGAATGTATGTTGAGTCAAATGAGTATTCTTGGTCAACTCCCATTGGCATTATTTTTTGGACTTTTGACTTTTCATATAATAATTTTGGTATACAAATATGGTTGACAAATTTATTACAAGCATTTAAATTCAAAAATCTTGAATTTATTAATAAGATTACACTTGTCATATACAATTATGCAAATTTGTACCAAATAATACCATTCATTGGAATCATAAATTTAGGAGTTGGGGGTTGGAACAACCAAATAAAAACAAAATCCAACTTTTAAGTTCTCATTTATTTAATTAAATAATATATCATAATGTTATTTTAATAATTATTTAATATTAATATGCTCTTTTTAAAATATATTTATAAATTAAAATATATTCAAGTTGATATATTTTATTTTGATGGAATGGATGTTTACGAGCATGTATCTAGTAAAAGAACAGAAATATTGAAACACTGATTATTAATTTGAAATAATGATATTTGACGAGTTTGTAGAGGCTTTTGACTTTGCCTTAATCTTTGTATCTAGTAGTTACATGTGTCAATGAATGACATAAATTAACCGCGTACTTAATTATTAAAAGTAATTCTATTTTTAACCATAAGGGTGGTGCTTGATTGGTTTGAGCTTGACTCCAAAGGTCAAAAGTATCTGGAGGTTTCAGGTTCAAATCCAATGAGGAATAAAATTCCACTTGTGGCCATGGAGGTTCAAATGCGGTGACTTTGGGCTATCTGTAAAGCAGGTGGTCGTCCTAAGATTAGTCGGCTCGCATAGCGGGTTGGATATCCAGGTTAATCAAAATAATAATAATTATTATTATTATATTTCTACTGTTAGATGTAGAAGAAAAGTCTGTGTACATCTTATCATTTCCATTACCATATTTCTGAGTAGAACATATTGACTAGCTTGGTTTTTGTTTTGTTTACTAATTTACTAGAAATTTGTGGCCTTTACAGAATATAATAAATGACGTTTTTACCCTTAATTCGAAAGAAAAAGGTGTTGATGGGTAATTAGGTGAATTGAGTATTTAGTTTTCAATTTAGAAGGATAGTTATGTCATTTTGCACTAGGTGTTGACCATTCTAGTCAAAATGTCCAAATTCTTTTTTTCAATAAAGGATAGCTCAAATTGTGTATATGTCCAAAATACATTCAAGACATCACCTTCTATCAAATTTCTAGCTTTATGACTCACTTTCTAGGCATAAAAGGTCTATTTTGATAATACATTTATAATTTGTAAACCTGTATTTAATTCAGTATGAATGTGTTTTATACTGATGTGTTATGATTTTATGACTCGATTCAAGATTATCATAACTGGGATAATAGAGTACTGAGCGAATAATACTAGTGGTTCTTGTGGTTTGCTCGAGTTCTGGATTTGGTCCCTAAAACAAACTATCTATATTGGTGGTCTCTAACCTTTTAATTTCATAACACACAAGGTCTCTGGTATTAAAACTGTCAGTTAACAATCGTTAAGAGGGACAAATCAGTCTTTAAAAAAACTATAGGGACCAAAAGTGTAACTCACTATAATGTTTGTATTCACATGTTTTCTTTTAAAAAAAACTTTTTAATAATGTTTCGTAATATTTTAACTTCTAAAACATGTATTTTTTCGTAAAAAAAATTATTTATCCCAATAAATAAATTTTAACATGTAATTTTCACACGTTAACTCTGCTCGAAACATTTTTAATAACTAAATTAAAAAAATGAACCACCATTAATTTCAGAGTGAATTACACTTTTGGTTCTTGTAGTTCGCTCAAAGACTGATTTGACTTTTCGAACGGTTAATAACTGGCAGTGTTTAATCCAGAGACCTTGAGTGTTATGAAATTCAAAAGTTAGGAACCATCAGTGTAGATAGTTTGTTTTGGGGATCAAATCCAAGCTTTGAGCAACCACAGGGACCACCAGTGTAATTCACTGTAGGGTATTTAATAAAATTTAAAGTTTATGGAACCAAACAAATTATTGAAACCATTGGGTTCTCAAATAATTGTCCCCTATATATCTGTTGGGTTTCAATAAGACCATCCAAATTTTGTAAGATCCTTGAAACTGTTGCGAAGGTTTTGTATGTCTTTACGACGAAGGTTTATTATGATTCACATGTGAATGTCTATTTCTATAAAGATTGGGATCTTGGTCAACTTGGGTTTGGCTATTGACTTTGGAACAATGAATATAAAATTATAGTTGACTTTTTTAACAATTTTGCAAAAAGTCAAAATCATATATTGATTATACATGTCATGTGAGAAGCAAAATATGTGGTTTGCCTAGTGATAAAGGCTTGGGTATGACATAGTCATGAACCCGAGTTCGAGCCCTGGTAAGGGAGTTTTGGTGACATTTAAGTGGGATATTGTTTAGCCTCCAAATTTGCCGGGGATTAGTCGGGCTTTGGCCTGGACACCCTTACAAAAAAAATATATATATATGTGGTTTGCTTAATAGGGGCTCAATCAAATGAGAACTCGATTATTTGTGATAACTGAGATCCACTATCAACCATACATTATTAATAATCAATGATTATTATTAAACATATTAATTTTGGTAAGTATTCATTAATTTGCAAATAATTTAAATTTATTGATAATATATATAGGGGTAAATGAGTCTTTTTAAAATCTCTCTCCTCTCTCCCCCTCTCTCTCTCTCTCCGGCCAAGAATTTCTAACAGTAAAACACAAAACAAATATGATACACGCTATGATACCCAAGAATTTATAACAGTAWGACACAAAACCAATTGTGATACACATTGTGATACCACTGTTATAACGTTTTGAACATAGGTTGATAACGGATGTGATCTGAGTTTTAGGCCACACACAACCACAGTGTGATACACGACTGTGATACAATTTTGCTAAGATGATTAAGGAAACCGAATTCTTGATAATTAAGGAAACCGAATTTGATGACTATTAAATAAGAAAAATATTTAAATTATAATTAATCATTTTACTAAAACGCCATTTACCTATTAATTAAAGTAATACAATTAATAAAATAAAATGATTGGCTCATATTAGACCTCACGGTTACCATAAACTAATTACGTCTCATTTGATTAGACCCCTACCCTAATAATCATATATTGATTTATTGGTGCTCAATAAATGAAACCATAATTTTATGAATTTAAATTTTAAAAAATTAAATAAATTATATTAATTAAAATTCATGTTCATATTTTTAACAGATGTTTAAACGTGATATATATATATATATATATATATATATACATCAAAGTCAACGGAGAAAGTAATGCCAAATGGCAGTCGACCGAAATGGCAAGTGATATATGTATATGTATATGTATGTATATTATATCACTTGCCATTTCGGTCGACTGCCATTTGGCATTACTTTCTCTGTTGACTTTGATGTATTATAAATACGGTTGACAAAATTACAACAAAACATTGTTATCAATAAATGGTATCATAATTTATGGGTTGAAGTTCGAAAACTTGAAAAATAAATTAAAAATTTTGATGTAAAACGTAAATTTTTTAATTTAAAATTGTAGAATGTCTGTTAATGTTATTAGACGAAAGACATAGGCCTTATCAGCCTTTTATGTCAGATTCGTTAAGAGTCAAGGTCATTCAGACTGTTTGTTTTTTCCAACTTCTCAAATGCATTTATGTCTTATTTTCCTCTTATCTGATAAGAGGTAAACCAACTTCTTATTTGCCTCTTATTGTTCTTCAAATCTTTAACAACGACGTTTCTCAATCGATTAACCTTAATCGATCATTTCTCTCAATCAAACCTCACCTCTCTCAATTAAGGTATTCTAATAGGATGTAAATGTGTTAAATACCGTTAATGACATATTTTCGTTTAAATGAATGTTAATTATATAATTTAGATGTAAATTTCATAATGATGATGAATAAATATGTGAAATTATATAAATTTATCTATAAATTCAACATTATAATTTTTAACAGGTAAAATAGACAATTTAAATAAATTCAGACGTTTATCAGTTTACAAAAACAAACAGTCTTATTGATTCAGATTTCAGACTTCATCAACACCTCTTTATAAATCAGAAGTGAAATAGGACTTTAGGCTTCAACACCTCTTAAAAAACAAACACCACCATAGACTTTCTTTTGAATGAGCAAATTACATTTATTCTGTTACTAATGAGTTTTAATTCATAATCAGTTGTTTTAACGACTCAGTTAACGATATTCTTATCGGAAGCAGACTTTATCCAAAAATTAAAAAAACAATTATGTGTACATCAAAATATTCAAGAAAGGATGGCTACAACATATCCAAATGCAGTCATAACATCACCATGACATGAGTCACTTTCTAAACAAATAAACCCCATTAATGGAAGAATTGAAATCTCAACAAATATTAATTGACCCTTTGACTTTATTACAGTAAGGTTTGAATCTAACAAATAAACTCATACACTCTCCTCATCTATGGTGAGGTTTGAACCCCTGACCTCTTAGGAGGTCAAATGCTACGAAACCGTTAGGCCAAAGATCCTTTGGTAGGATTCAAGTAGATCTTAATCTACTATACGTATTCATTTTCTAGTGTAAAAACAATTTATATGATTCAATATTTCTAAATATAAGACGACACTGTGATAAAAGTGGTTTGTTATGACGCTCATAACAGTCTTAATAAAATACTTGACGAGATTTAAAGTTTGATACCTGACAAGGTCTTGAAAGCAGAAAGTTCTTAAGACCAAATTCAGTATCCTAAAGAACTCAAAAAGTAGACTGTTACGTTAATTTTTTTTTATAGAATTTTCTAAATAGTGTTATATACAGGTATTCTAAAGACTAAGATTTGTTGCGGCATTGTTAGATAGTCTAATACGGAATCACCAACTTTGAGAAAAACTGACATTTCTGATGTGCTGTGTTTTTTGAATTTTGAGTATCGTTGAATTATATTGCTGTTAGATTGATAAAAAAAATACATTTATATCGTTGTATTGATTGATCTTTACATGTTCGAGGAGTTTGTATGTGAGTTGGTCTCTTCAAATATAAAGTATTAAGACAATCTACATAATAGAAATTTGACACCTCGACAAACATGAAATAATATGTTGACTTATTCTAAAACAGAAATCGTGCTTTCATTCTGATCAAGCGTATTTTGTTGTCGTGTCTTAATGGTTGGACTTTAATGTATCGGAAGGCATGCATATGTCTAGGAGTTTGAATTCATAACCTAGTCTTTGACAACTCGGCAGAGTAATAGAATATGTAACTAACGGAAATTCAACAACTCGACAGATATCATAGTACATATCTGATATACGTATTACTTTAATGTATAATATGAATGGTATGAATCGGTCGTACATTTGTGTTATGTTCCTCTTTTTGTGCACACATGGCAATAATGAATTTTGACTTGTTCAAGAAAACAATATGTAGAATCTTGATTTGATGTTGCTTTTGATTGTTATCGGGATAAACTGCTATCAATCAACATTCGTTGTATAAAACCTTTGGATTGTAAGACACCCGTTAAGATTTAAGAGATAGTAATGAAAAATCTCATCTTCCCCGGTTTGAATTCAGACATTGCCAAAACCCTTGTAGCCATGAAAGTTCACCTGTAATGACTCGAAGCCTGTATGATTAAGTCAGTATACGCAAATTAGCCCGGATGCCCACAATTACCAGGAAAAGAAACATTCGTTATAGAAATCTACGTATATTATTAAAGAGTGAAACTCAAAATCTTATCATACACAGGAACAAAAGGTACACATTTTCCCGCAACTTACATAAAATATAAACTCAAGATTGAAAAATAAAACAATTGTTATAACTTCCTACGCCAAAAAAAAAAAAAAAAAAAAAAAAAAAAAAACCCATCTTCTCAAGGGAGCCTGCAAGTTCTTCATGCCATATTTGAAAGCATTTCTACATATTTCTCATTGAATCTTGAGAGTGGATGCAGTTCAATCAGCCAAGCAAATCTTTGAATAAATTAGGATTCTGGGTTGCTGGTGTGACACCCATTTGCCTAACCAATGCATCTTTCCCCAAAGCATCTTTAAGGTTCGGACCCTTTGTCGTTCTGTTACCCGACCCATGACTCAGGTTACCAGTTTCTTGATTCTGATTCTGACCGCTAGTAGAAGCAGCATCTGAATAAAGGGACAATAGATCAGGATCTTTGGAAACATTACTATATTGGTTTGTATCCACAAGACCTTCCAGTTGTTTGAATGGATCCACGGTTGAGGATGAGCCACTTGCCGCACCACTTGGTTCTCCGAAATCCAGCAAGTCCACAGGTGGATGAACCACTGCTGTCGTGGCTCGCGTTTGATCTGCTGTACTACGGGTTGCTTTTGAACCCTTGATACCACCACCAGATTGTTTCTTTTCAGACTTTGAAGTGGTACCCCCAAACAGTGAAGCTGCAAGTTTTTGCTTTTCTTCAGGTATCTCAACTTCCGGCTGCCTTCTTGAAGAGGGTTCAAATGATTTGCCTTTTCCAGTACCATTTACCGTATGAGATTCCGAATCTGAGGTTGATGGGGAGGCAGCAGATGAGTAAGTGGGCCTACCCCACTTCTTTTGAACCCCATCGAGACGTAGCCTGAGCTCTTGCGAGCCTTTGTCGGATAAAGATCCAACAGATGGGCTACGATGGACCTCCCTCTGATAAGATTGTTCACGGACAGCTGCAAGTTCGGTTAAAGAAGCTGTTGGGGGTAGCCTTGCAGAGATTACAGGCTTTGGAACCTCGTAAGCCTCGAACCTAAGAGAATGTGTCGACGCATCATGGTGATCGTGGTTTCTAAAGTTGCTGATATTTCGAGTTCTAGATCGTTCATGCTCTGTTAAATATGGTTTAGCCCCCTCTTCTAAAGACTTCTGAACATAACTATTGAGAAACGAAAGACTCTTATCAATCTGCATGAAAATAAACACAAAAATCCTTCAAATTAAGGCACTCAGAATAGAAGACCCCAAAAAAGAACATCTAACGCCCGTTAAATGAAGACAACTGGCAATGAAATTTGAAGGCATCAATCGACAGCAACATATTCAAAGTCGAAATAACAGTTTATATGAACAGCAAACCACCTCAATGTCTTCACAACTTGCATCTAATGGCATTATATTCTCCATAGCAATACCATCTAGGCTGATAATTGCCTTAAGTTCATATGCGCGCTGCTGGAGATCAGTCGAGTGAGATGCAGACAATGATTCAATCAAGGATTGGCACTGAAATACGAGAGAAATTTAGAACTCTGATATGCCAAAAAGTTCTCTTGTGAATGAACAGTTGACGGTAAGTTAGCATGGATGAAATTTGTAGAATCTAATCTGATATTGATAACTATTCCTGATGGCATGGAAGATAGCTAGTGTTTACTTACCTCCGATAACATATCTAATTTTCTTCCGGCAGCTTTTTCATAAGAACAAACTTTCATAAGTGCAGTCACTGCATACGCCTTCCAAAATAAGCAGAAAAGAAACTTACAACATGCTTTAAAATTTTCAATCAAGAAGGCATGATAGAGGACTGAGAACAGATATAAGATACAAAAATAACACCCAATAAGCTTTGAAAGCAACAAATGCCAAATATCCAGAGAAGACCTCCCCTCCCCTTAATTAACCGCCTAGGTGTAGGAGATTAAACAACTTGATTTCCTTCTATGCTGCAATTGTCCGTCCATTAAACGGTGATCAAGCACTCTAAGCAGACTTTATGTTGGCTAATCAAATGAAGCCGATTAATTATTTTTGTAAGAAGAAGCCAAATACATGTTTCTAGCCCGATTCCATACAATTAAGCTTTCTAGCCATTGTTTCTAGCCCGTTCGTAGGAAAATACTTGATCAAACTTAATAGCTTAGAAATAGCCACATGAAACAAGAAGTTGGTCAGATTAATGTTGGTTCAAGCTTGAACCTTTTTCAAGTCAACATTCACACTTTACACACCTCGAGTTCTATCAGCGACAAACAATCAGCTCAAATTACCAAAGTCTCAAGTTTCTTCGCTTAAATCAAGATGAGGGATTGACAACTCAGATGTACTCAGTAGTTGTCTAGGAACAAGTGCCACCTTGTCAAACACAATTAAATTTCTGAACATCAATGAAGAGATCATTTTAATACAGGAGAAAATAAATTCTTTGACCAAAGAATTTAGGGAAAAATCTTGCCCAAAATTGACAACAAAAACAGGAAGTGGCTTAGGCGAAACTTCAAGATCAAAGTACAAGAAGACAGGTAGTTTGGATGCAACATTTTTCTGTTTTCACACTACATTTTCATCAAAGAAACACAAAAAAGAATTGTGTTGGTATTCTGTGTAGATAACATTGTGATTACATGTGAAGATCCACTTGACCCATCATTGAGATGTCATTCTACATATTTAAGATGCCTTAAGGATGCACCTAGCCACACTCTTCTTTACACAGACAAGATCATACTCTGATCATTGGATATTCAGACGTAGATCATATTCGATACCCAAATAATAGTTTGGCATATTCAATGTCTAAGTTCCAACTCAAGCAATGATGTTAAAGTAATAGAACACATTCCATTAATTTTTCAATTTCCCATCCCCTGAACTTTGTTTCCACAAAAATCTACAACCTTCAAATCAAGATGCTTGCAGAACAGATCCAAAAACTCGCTTAAGTACCACAACATAGTAGAATATCATAAATTTGCAGATATCTCAAAACCTCACCAACATTTTAGCAGTTCCACATCACAAGAGCAGCAAGTCAGACCACAAAATCCAAATGGAGCAATCAAATGTGTCTACCAGCAGCTAGGTGCAGCTGCTAGGGAAACATCTTGGTGGTGGATGTGGTCACTGACTTTAGACATAAGGTTTGAACCAAGTTTAGCAACACCAAGTTCGAACCATGTTAAAAAATAATTTCTTTCTGGTCCACCAAAAATTTGTTTAGCACAGGAAAAAAATGTATCTACTATATAGTACTGAGAAAAAAAGCATAACTACATAATATAATAGACAGGTACAAAAAATAAAATCCTAAAAGAACCTTAAGTTTAAAAAATCTATATTTTAAGTCGTTATAAGTTACCTCAAAGGGGTTGGATCAACTCCTTGGGAGCTACTCCCACTGGACAAGTTTATCCAGTCCATGTGGAGAGAGCGCTTGCATGGACCCATTGGATTAGTTAGACCAAAAGTGTCAAATACCACGGTTATTTTATATATAAGAAAACAACTCAAACAAACATTGATCAAAAGTAGTTAAAGGAGAGTACAGAATTGATACACAAAAGAGATAATAAGAATATTGAGGAAACATCCGTGAGTCATCTCTACGAATTGCAATCCTCTAATTCTCCTAAGCCAACTCCATATTTCAACACTATAAGCCCTATCTGCCCTCGCACCATAATTATTTAAGCCAACCTCTCTTTTTTATCATCCTCATGAAAGATGTCACCCACCCACACTATCAGAATAAATTCTCTTTAATATTTCTCAAAACATAAAACCTTGAACAGAAAAAAGAAAACGGAAAAACTTTACAAATGATGTCAATAAGTCAAGTATATTGAAAGCTGCAGTAGGAAACTTCACGTACATTTTCTAGTGCTCATACATGAAGCTAGTTAACATACCTTGACAGTATCATCACTTGAATGTGCTTCTGCAACATCACATAACTTGCCACCGATGTAGGAGGCAGAATATTTACCATCTGCAGTTCCATATTCCCCCAAAACCCAACATATGACCTGTATACAACAAAAACAGAGCAACATTCCACACATACAAATGCTGGGTGAAGACCAGGCATAGGAAACCAAAGTAGGACAATTTACCTGAAGAAATGTAGATGGAAGCTTTGGCTCTCCCATTATTCGCAAATAAGATTCCACCTACAAACCAAAAAAAGATAGTTCCAAATAAAATAGACAGATAGAGAGCCAATGATGGTATAAGATGTAGTACTTAAAAGAGGTAATGCATTATTATCATAACTTGAAATCATCATACCGGCTGCTTATTAATGTAAAGATTTTATTATCTACAGGACACAATGATTAATACAAAAGAAGTCATTACTAAAGTATTCACAAATCAGAACACCCTTTACAAATTAGAGAATGTTAATTATGATATTACGTTACAATTTCCAAAAGCTAAATCAAACTAATGTGTTGCTAACAAGCGTTGTTTCAGTTGTAGAGCTGGGTTTTCAAATAGTCAAACCAAGTGAAGCCAATTAGGGTACTTAATCAGAAAGGGTAGGGCAACACCAAATCCTGTCTCACTTAACGAGTAGATTGATGACTGATGTCTGAAAGCACTCTATTGAAAAATAAAGTTGATTTGGGTCAAAAAGGTTCACAGCCATAGATAATTGGATATATAAAAGATTTTAACAACGCCAAATACAAGTTCTACCACAAGCATGTAGTGGAATGGTTAATCATGATAACAAGAATGAACTATCATAAGAAGCTAAATCAAGCAGCAGATTATGTCAAAATAGGATCCATACCCCGAACCACCATTTCGAAGTAGTATCCATTGAAAATAATATTCTATCCATACTATATTAGTTGTCAAACTTTGACCTTGACATCAAGGCTGACACAAATACATTTACAACTAGAAGGAAACCCAATAATTAGTTTTGTAATCAAGAAGTACAGGTACCATAAATAGAAAAAGACCCTAAGCCCTAATGTACCAGCTCCCATATCATGTTTGTTGCCTTATTTAGAAGCAGAGTCAAGCATCCAGATCAGCTTCTAAGGTAACTGTTAAATAAAGAATTCTTCGAGTATTCCGACCACTGTGAAGGATCTTAAAAAGAAATCAAGTGCCTTAATTAAAGACTTGCAATAACTGATGTGCATATTGCATAATGAGATTCTGAACTGGGCTCCAAACTAGAAGAAGTAAGTACTAAAAATAACATGTGCATATGGGAACTTTGACCACACCTAGGGTTTTAAGCATCACACCTTATGATCTGATATTTTAGAAACTTGCCCAACTCTAACTCAAACACAACTGTCTAAGAGACTCAATTAACCTTCTAGGACATTCTATGCTTCAGATGCTGAGCCTATACAGCTAGTGGATACACATGGACAAAATTTTTGAACAGGATTCATGCACCAATGCATATTTTTTTTGTAAGGGTGTCCGGGCCAAAGCCCGACTAATCCCCGGCAATTTTGGAGGCTAAACATGGCCCCACTTAAATGTCGCCAACACTCCCCTCCCAGGACTAGAACTCGGGTTCATGACTATGCCATGCCCAAGCCTTACCACTAGGCTGGAAGGTCTTTGACCACCAATGCATATTGATGGTCAAAATAAAAATAAAAAAACTAATAACTTCTGAAACCAGCTCTAAATTCCGTAGTTTTCCCACGGCTTTAGAACACTCTACTCCGAGAAGTTGAAAGAATACTACTATTAAAAGTCTGTATAGAATTGCTGGGTTCTCCATCACCTCACGAAATACTTCCATTAGCCACCATCTCAAGTTAGAATGACAATGTCTTCAATCTTACACAAAGATCAAAAGCTAGAGGTAGAAGTGCAGGACAAGTAAAAATTGTATATCATATGAACCATACTGGAGGATGCTGGATAAGATCACATACAATAACAGAATTTCCACTTCACATAGGGCGGAACATGGACATCATAACCTGGGAGGCCGAAAATGGAATATAAAAATCTGGGAGAGAAAAAGTGGCGTTGTAAAAATCCGAGGACCGAAAATGGCATTATAGAAAAAGGGATTAGCCAATAGACAGAAAATAGGGAGAAAAAGAAAAGGCTTGCCAGGTTTCAAACATGGCACCTTGACTTTAATACCACCAAAAATTAACCAGCTAAGCTAGTAGGAATAGTTGATCAAGATATCATGCTTCGCTAGATTGAATATTTATTTAATTACAAAAGGCATTTAATTATCCGATCCCTGATAGAAGTTACACCACCTCACCAAGACATGATCTACCTACTATATTTACATCACCATGAAAGTGGATGCACATGAAAAAGTAAGACCAAATGTCCAGACATGGAACTATTTCAAGCATCTCATAGTTGCTCACAGCCAGAAACAACTTGATATATGTTACAAATTAAGATAAGAGATTTACTGAAACAAGCACAATGTATATAAACTGTCAAGTCATTCAAGAATACATACAGCAGAAGATCTAAGCTGACTATCTGCCGTATCATCATCCTCCCCAAATCCCTCGGCAATCAAGCGCATCAAGTTATGAGCCACCTTAGGGTTCACCAAATCCCCAGCATGTTGGAAGACTTTGTTCATAGTCTGTAAGGGAAAACAATGGGCGAGAAGTGAAGATAGAATTTTGGTAACATGCAACTAACTATATCAAAACTCGCAATTGGAAGTAAACATGCACATGTGTAATTGCCTGCATGAGAGAGAAACAGAGAGAACCTGAATAAACCAACGGTTGCTGGGTGCGAATTGCTCTGCAAGCTCCACACATCTAGATGCTATTTCAGTTTTGTAATGATTGTCATTGATGCTTATCATGTACTCTATCATACGGTCTACTATAACTTCCACATTGGAGGACTTCGTCATTTTATAAAGCAGCTCAAACGTTTTCCTCTTTAGAGTGTCATCTGGATCCTGATTCAAGAAGTGAGGAAGAACTAAATATACATTTGAAGTATATTCTCATGACAGAGAATTTTCTGTTACCTATTCAAAATAAGTTGATTTAATATGGCATATTTGAGACAGACCCATGCAAATAACAAGGAAGCGACAAGGATAACAGGAAGAAAAAAAATAATGTATTTGTTAGGTGTACGCTTGCAGCAGTAACAATAAAAACATATTACAGGTTGATCTTGGTACTTACAATACATGTTGAGATGTTGGTTTATTGATAATCGATTAACTCTCATCAGCAATGCCATTTTTGTTAGGATACAAGTAGGTCATTAATGGATGTTAATCGAATCGAATCTGGACATCCAAATTCGTATTCAATCAGCAAAACCAAATTAATAAAAGGAAAGAACAAAAATAAAATATAAAATTGATGCAATTTCCAAGGTTGGATAATTCCAAGACCCAAAATAACTTCAAAGTTAGGTGGCTTTTTTTCTTTATAAATGACATTGACATGTTATAGAACATATTAAGTATCATCACCTTTACTGTTTTAGTAATTAATGTTGGTCGACTATTTAATCGAATCAAATAGAACTATATCAAAATTCACTCACCTCTAAGCAATCAATTACAGCAAGTTGGTGTTGCTCAGCAACTTCTGGGTTAATCCTTATCAGTCGACCAAGTGCATCAATACCCATATACCTTAAATTATGAACGTCGCTCTACAAGACAGAGAAATCCGATCATAAGATTTAGCATATAAAAAAACTAGACTTCTACGAGTGGCAGACATCTTTCAACAGTAAAAAGAAGGGTGGACCTTCAGGAGTTTAGCAATGGCATCAGCTGCTGCTCCAAATAACTTAGGACTGGGATGTATAGATGAGACACAGCATATGCATTCATAAAGAATCGCATTTCCTATATTACTAGTCGTGTCACTCCTCCTCATTATGTCTCCAATGATAGTATACATCTGCTCGCTGGACTGCTTGTCACCACTACCAAGTAATGCCAGAATTTTTAGCAACTTAATCTGCATAAGCAATTGACCAATAACGTTAAAAAGACGAATTACTTTTGTGATATCCAAATTTAAGCTTAAAAAACTCACTAACTAAAGCAATAATATTTTAACCAAAAAAAACTAATATTGAAGAAATTTTACCCCTTACCTTTACATCTTTCCTGTAAAACTTGATCTGAATTAAAAAAGAAAAGAGCAATTCACCATATGTAGTCCCATTTAAAAGTAAAATCAACTAAGATATTAACATAACAGTATATATTAAAGTCCGACTGTCCAACCACATTCGTGGTCCATTAACAAATACCCAAATCAGTATCTTGCAGGCACATGCCCTGATTAATTCATAATTGCAATTAATTACCAAATTATTTACTCCGAATTATCTTATGAAGTTTGACTTTAAAATTTGATCCCTCATACTTCATTTTATTGTCTATAACCCGTGAATTGGAAGTGTATGCCAATTTTCTTTTTTGCTTTCCACCTATCTCACAGCCTCCCTCCTTCTCAAGGTATGCCATTCCGCTCTTGTTAAAAATAATTATCTACAGTCATGTATCTTCATAAAGTGTTTTTGGCAAAACAGAAAGAAGAAAGAAAGGATCAACTCAAAATGAGATAATGGTCTTGTAGGCAATAGAAAATTACCACGTAATTTAGGCCATTCAGTTTTAAAAGGTTCCACCAAGAACATTCGACCGTTATTCTGTCTCAGATACCCCATCTCCTACAAAAAAGCTCCTGCCGGTTGAGACTCAATATCGAAACACAAGTGTAACTTCTTGTTCCTAACAATGTAGATTAGCATTTTTGTGATTAATAAACAATTTTGTTTGTTAATGATAATTCATAAGTATAATCCAGTTAGCCTAATTGTATCTAGTGATATAAAAATATTATTACCAATATTAGTTTTCCTTTTTCTTTTAATGAGCAAAACCACCCCAACCCAGCCCCATGGTCCTTTTCCTGCCCCCAACCCCACATCTATTCCCTCCCCATCCCTTGTGTTTTGGATATCATCAAATCAAATAGCTTAAAATCATCAGGATCGATAAATCCACCCAACAGTAAAGCAAAACTGTCCAAAAAAGTGAATCAAGCTACAATTCTAAAAAGGTCGCATAGGCAATCACACTCAGCAGTTCCTCTGAACAGCCTAATTTTGAAGCTAAGAGCATCTCCAACAGATTCTTCAAAAATGGAGAAGTAAGAAGTTAAAATCTCCTAAAAAAATTACATTCATCTCCAACGGATTCTCTATTTTGGAGACTACACAAATTCAATACAATTTATAAAATATTCTCTCTCTCGTAAACATTTAAATTCAAGCAATCTCATTGGTAGAATGAATAAAAAGTCATTTCTCTCTCATAAGTAATCATTTTTGGAGAAATCTCCAGATTTGGAGAATTTCATCCTCTCTCTCATACTTTCTCCATTTTGGAGAAGATTTTGGGGAATCTATTGAAGCAAAAATCCCCAAAATCTCCATTTTGGAGAAGTTGTTGGAGGTGTAACGATGATTTTTTTTCTGAATTAGTATAACAAACGTTTAATTATTCCTAGTTTGACCGGTAACTAGTGGACCTTGTAACTATTTGTGACATGGATGCCAAGTTGCCAGGTTATATTGTAACTCTTGATTACGTGGAAGAATGATACATCAAAATCAACTATACCAAGTAGACAGAAAATCCGTTTATCTAGTAAAATAGGTATGAAATAGACAGGATTGAAAGTTTATTAGTAACTAAGAAAAAAAGTTCATAAGACGAACTTCGTTACATTTTGAAGCATTTTGTCCTTGTATGTATGGATAAGAGAAGATAAAATATTTACATTCCCACCATCTACATATTTAGATTTTGAGTATAATTTTCAAGTTCTCTCCACTTAATATTTATTTTCTTATTCAACACTTACTCGTCTTCTATGCTTGTTTCCTTTACATGCCTCCTCGTTGTTGCTTGTTCAGTTTTCCCAATATTTCTAGGCTGTGTTGCTTATGCGATTGTTGGATATCGCAGCCTGACAGAGTTTGATCAAAAATTACTCTCATGCATTCATTTTGTATGGATTTACATACATTTATGATGCTTATTTGATATAAGTTATTTGTCCTCCTTTCATTTATGAGTTATCTATTTGTGTGTATTTATTTAAAGTATATGTGTGTGTGGTGTACTCATAGGTGTGCTGCACCTAGATTTTTGAACTTGCAAAAATGCCAAACCCATTAACTAGTGGAACGCTCATCCCCCATACCGGTGCTTCCTGTTGGGTGAGGAAGAGAACGAGAAAACAACAATTACTGAAACTAATATTATATTAAAAGACCAGGAGAAAGTTACTTGCAACTAAAAGAAAAAAATGTTAAAATTATACTTTATATGATCCCTTGCATTTAAATTTACATCATATATTTGAGCTCATGTGGGTAAAAAATGTCAATTTAGGTGGTGTAGACCAAATAGTCATCTTGCTTGTTAGTCTCTAATGGCAAGGGATTTTTGCCACATAATGAGTTCTTAAAACAGAATCGGTTGAATTTACCCGTCAAAGCCTCTCACATTCAATGGCCTACACGAAATTTGATAAATTTCACATGACCCACAAGATCAATATCCCATGCTGATGTGAAGATCCTTCAAACAAACATTCATAACTCTCAACTAAAAGAAAGGACATGTTCTTCTAACTGTCCAAGATGGTTTCCCAATTCATATGCAATATCCAGCCCAAGTGAACAACCAACCCTTTTGAGATCAAACCATGCATACTGAAGTAATACTAATAATGGAAAACTATTGACTTGCAGACCAGAAGTATCCTCCCTTTGGCTATCAACGTACTACACTTGCAAACTCCAAAAAACTGTAGGTATGATGTAACACCTCTATGAAAAACTCGAATAATATTTTTCATTTTCCCCACTTTCTCAAAGGTAGTGACGTCAAGTCGTAATTATCCAAGTACAAGCAGAAAAAGAAAACAATAAACACCCAAAAAGTAAGAGGGCTATTGTATCTAAATAGATGATATATGAAGTGACACACCTGTATAAACGGGGCAGGTGTCTGATGATAGTCGTAACTCTTTGGCAGTCTACGTTCAGCGACCTGTTTGAGAATGCTTACAAAGCTTCCAACTAAATCTTTATGTGAATTTACGTCTATCATGATAAGATCAAATAGAGGGCAAAGTGTAGCACCCATTACTCCAGGGTCGTTGTCACAAAGTTTCTGCAAAAATATACATTTACAAATAAAGCATCAGGAAATGAAAAACTCAAACGAAACAAGAATTATAAAATTGTTAAAAACAAGAACTGCTTTTCAAGCAGCATCTGTTTTGTAATTAGATTTCTCTTAAAGTGCATTACATTTCAAATTTCTAATAAAAGTTACCAACAAAACTTGAAAAAAGCTGTGTTCATGTATGGTAATAAGGACCAGTTTAGTTTTGGTGTTCCAGTTGAGCCATTAATAACATAAAATGATTAATAATGTACACACTAACAAACTAATAGAAATGATCACTTGGGTGGTGCGGCTAGATGGTCCCAGTATGGCTTGATGTTTTATAACCTCAATCAATGACCATGACATGTAATATAGCAAATTCCAGTTTCTGCATTTCAGATACGTCCTGGTCGTCTCTTTTTCATCTCATGTACTCAATTATGGTTTTTTGTATTCATTAATTATCTTTCAGGTTAAATTTTCTTCCCGTTTTTCTTTTTTCACTTGAAACTTCAATTGATTGCAAGTATGGTTCTTGGTATTACTGCAGGCCCTAGTGTCTGATCTACAGTAGTCCTATATTCAGCTCCTCCAACAAGCTTGCTTCAGAGCTCGAGGGAAATTAATCATGCAAGATAACATGAACTGTTTACAACGATGCATGCACATCATACATTACGAAAACTCAAATTCTCCTTCCCCATAATCACAGTGGCGCATATAATCTTCTCACAATAGTAGTTACCCGTAGAAGAATGATCCATTTAATGTCTGTATGAGTGATGATCATGCCTGGTCATGGGAATTCAAGCAAAATCAGTTTACATATTGAACTAAATTAGCTTTAATTCAGAATTCCAAATACCAGATCAATTATTCCCTACAATGCAGGTGCAATTCTATGATGCCCACATCAACATAAAGTTTATATATCTAAAAAAACACTAACCTTTCGGAAATTCGTTACAAGATGAGTCACGGACGAGGGGGACCTTTGATAAAACCGATGCAGAGCCATTACAGCCTTCTTCCTCACCGCCTCTTTTGGGTGGTATAACAACTCAACCACCTGCTGAAGAACAGCGGGTATCGTCTCGTCATTAATCAATTTACATACCGCATTCAAAGCGGCGCATACCACCAGAAAATTATCCGATTTCAAGTCCTTCTGGATCGTATTCACGATCAATATTATCAAATCATGATCCTCGTTAAGAAACAGAGTCACGGCCAAATACCCAGTTCGCTTCAGTAGGAGGGAATCGTCATGAGTCATCTTAACGGCATGAATGTATCCAAAAGAGGCGTCGTGGCCGAGCATCTCAATGTACACGAGACGGATTATGTACTCTTTCATCTTCCGTTTGGGGATATCGGGCTCGGTGATTCGGCGTCTTAGGGTTTCGATCTCACGAAGAACTATACGGTCTTCCTCAGCCTTGGATCGGGATTCTCCAATTGATTTTACAAGGTCCAGAAACTCCTTGGACTGGCCGAAGCCACCCTGGGAGCCCATTGCGAGCTCCCTGCCTATCGTCTTCAACTGCTCCAGGTTTGCAATAACAAAAATACGCTACCGATTATGGGGTTTAGGATATCAATTTCGTACACTCTAAGGGAAATTCAGTGGGTTCTGGAAATTGGGGAAGATTTGATAGAGAAGAAAACGAATTACGGTTGATGTTGGAGAATAACGAAGAAGAAGATGAGTAATCATACGAACACGTGGTTCGCACGTGGTGACTTCCTTCCGACCATGAAAATTTTGTTTACTGGGCTTGTACTTGGGCCTGGATCGGTTTGGAATCAAACTTTAGTAACTAATGGTTTATTAGGGCCTAGAAATGGTTAAATGGGCCTGGCCTGAGATCAGGACCAACTTGGGACCAATTTAGGACCAACGGTTCGAAATCAGTTACACTTTTTGTCAAAACAAAAGACCCAGCCTGGCCCGGCCCTATACGAGTTTGGGACTGGTTATAGGTCCGGCCCAATTTTTCAAAATTATTATTGTTTTATTGTCGATACCCAACGGCCATATAACATTTTTTCCTATTTTGACCCATTTTCTGTCTCATTTACCCTCTATTCGCTATATATAAGTCATATGGTGTGTGGGAAAAGTTACCAACTCACGAACGTCCACAATTCTTGTTATAATTCATGATTTCAGCCCGTATTCTCACAAAAAAAACCTGGTTGAACCACTTTGTTCTCCCGCAAAGGCATACTTACAGATCCATCAATCAGTTCATTTAGTAAAACCTCTGTTCTCTTGAATGAAAAGTTGGAGTGTACGACAAGTCGCTATAAGGGTTGTAAATAAGAAGAGGTAAATCAAGAACGGCATGCATTCATTTAATTTTACAAAAGCATCATGTCAATCAGAGTATGTTGCCACGAGAACCCCCTCTTAAGTAGCGTATGATCAAATACATAAATAAACGTTGAATAATCAAGAATTCTAAATGTTTAGAACATGACGATTAAGAGATGACCGGACCTTTAACACTCGATCCATATAAGGAAACAAACCGTCTTAACGAAAAAGTCAATGAATAAGCAGCTAAATCATTCAGTGTTTCACTAAAAGACAAACAAACAAGCCCTTAACCACGTTATCGACCTAATTCACATATGTAAGAAAGTGTCATCAAAATCTTGACCATTAAATATTCCCTCTTGTGAAATCTTCAACTACATATACCGTGGATCAACCCACAGTTTGTGGTGGAATAAAAAGGTTGAAGGCCCAAAAAAATTGTCAAGTTGAAGAAGAAAATTGGGTGGATGTACTAATTCAGATATTTTATTAACCAAAAAATGGTGTTAACTTTGTGAACTCGTTGGACCAATCAAAACCATTTTTTTAACCATGGTCACTATTGTTCATTACGACATAACACACGTTCATTTTACTACTATTACAAAAATGTCACTGATGTTTTAGTCCGTAGATTGAATACATTAAAAGTCATGATTGGTTCACATAGTTAACATCAATATATGGTTAACAAATGAACCAACCCATATATATAGGGTTTGGTTCCGACGGGAAAGGCAAGAAAAGAATCTCCACCCTTGGATCAATCCTAAAATTGAAGGCCAACATTAATACGGTGCACCAAGATACATATACATATAATAAATATACCGTACATGTTAAGATGATACGAGACATGGAGCTATCACTACTAGACGACTAGTTTAGAATTATTCTTTCAGTTTTAAATAAGTGATATGTCGTCTTTTGGTATATATGCATCCATAGAAGCATCAATTGTTAGGTTCTTTATAATAGTATTGAAACGAGTCACGATCTCGTCTTTTTAGAAAACCCGATATATACTAGAAGGGGTACTTGTGCAATGCAGCGAGATAAATCTCGATCTTAATGTTTAGTTTTTTTTTTCTATCAATATAATACGATTTTATGTGGTTTTGAGAAAACGATAATGTTTTTATTTTTTAATGAATATAAATTTGAAGATAGCATAGAAATTTGAAAAAAATAAAATAAATCGATATTAGTATCAAATTAACTATTTAATAGTTCTCGGTTTTTTGGTGTAATTTTTTTAATTCAATTTTTTTATTATAATTTAATTTAGATTTAATAATAAAATAATTTATTTTTGATCTAATAACATAATTTTTTATAAATATAATAATTAAATATTCTTTTAAAACTCAATGATTATTTTCATTATATTTTAGATTTTGTATATTTAAAATAGATGTTTATCATGTATTTGATTATATTTATCTGCAGTTGTACTTACGCAAAACTACTTGTAATCTTGAAGTTTAAGTAATATACATCAATAAACATTACTTTATACATAAAAAATAGTTTTTAAGAATTTTTGTCAAATGTTTTATAATATAGTACAAATATATACCATCACCCAAACGAGAAAAAGGTAAACAAGAATAATAAAATATAGAAAGAAATAAAGATATACGAATGTTGTTGAAAGATGCATGCCATTACCACCGTTATTTAAATGTTGTTAAAAACGAAGAATTAATATATAAATACATGTTGGGAAATGGTAGGGCATGGGGTTTGTACATGCGAATGATTTCCATTTTTGGCAAATAAACGTTTATTGACTCGTTTCAAATAAGGACTGATCTCGACCCACCCACTTAAATTCATTCCTCAAAATGAGTGTGTATATATATATATATATATATATATATATATATTATATGTAATGCAAGTTAATGAAATGGAACCTTTGCTTTAGGTTTTAATTAAGTAATATACTTGTTTTTCAAGATTTTGATGTCTCCAATGAGATCTATTTAAGTAGTATTTATTATTTGATTAAAGTTGTGACCATTCTTCTATTTTAATTGAGAACCGGTGAACTGTCGATAGTGGTGTCGCAAATCTTCATATTTATGATAAATAAGGTTTGTAATAATGATTAATGTTGTAAAAAGATCACGTCCACAAGTAGCAAACTCTTGATGGTGTTCATCTCTCTCTATCTATACAACCCTTTACATTTGTACAACCAATACAACTCAATCTCAATCGTCCATTTAATTTGATGAATATGTAATTTTATAGAAGTTTTGATTGTTTTCTAAAATAAAGTATTGATCATAATTAATGAAACTTATTCATCTTCCATAAATATTTAAATCATAATAAATGAACTCTCATCATTTTCATAAATTTTTCAATTTATTGGATTGCATTGGTTGTACAGATGTAATGGGTTGTATTTGAAACAAACTTTCTCTCTCTCTCTCTCTCTCTCTCTCTCTCTCTCTATATATATATATATATATATATATATACACACATACACACACACACAACTATCTTTGAGAATAAGAATTACTATGAGGAGGGTAAGAACTCTTTTAAGCCTTTGCAAAAGTTGACTTTTTGATCTACCCTCAATTATCTTTGACTACCTCTTCATCTACTTCTAACTTCACTTTTACGAGCTTTTACAGGCATTTAGTCACTTTCACATGCATGAATTTGTTAAAGTTTTGATCCTGATGATAAAAATAGGTAAGCAAAGATAGTTGAAGCTGATATCAAAAACCCAATACTGAATATATATACAAACACAGATAAAGTGAAAATCAAAGGTAAGATGCATATTATATATATGCTCCAACTTTTTACTTTCAGTTGTTTATTTAATACAAATAAAGTGAAAATGTTCTTTAAGCACCTACTTAAAAAATTTAAGGTTGAAGTATGAGATAATCCTATGTTTGGAAAAGTATGATTGGAAAGAGAAGGTGTATAGACCAAAAAGAAACAAGTGATACCCTAATTAACTTCTATTGGAGATTCCTATTTGCATTTAACTTGATTATTAGAGCAAATTGCATGAAAAAGTAACGTATTTTATCTTTATTTTTTTATTTTGGGAAACGTACTTTCAAAACTTTCATTTTGGTACCTAAGATGTAAAGTTTTAAACATTTAAGTACTCGATTAACCGGTTGAAGACTACTTTTAGATTAAAATACTAATTTTAGATTTAAAAAAATTCATGTCACTAACCACGTCACCAAATAATACTGAGTTGGATACTACATCACTCATCACATCAGCATGATAACTGGTTAATGCTTCAATCGGGTACTTAAATGTTTAAAACTTTATGTCTTAGGTATTAAAACGGAAGTTCTGAAAGTACGTTACTCAAAATAAGAATCAAATTAAAGTACGTTTTTTTTCCATGCAATTTGCCCAAATTATTACAGATTATGGAAAAAGATTTTAAATATACATCTGATCCATCATAAGTTCTAACATCTGTAAAATTTTATTTTGCTGATGATATTTTCTTTCGGCAAAAATTTCACCTTTTAACGACGGCTCTCTTCAGGCAAAAAATGGCGTTTATAAATTACAAAAGTAAGTGTCTAGCTGTTCTGTTGTAATTTTTTTTTTTCTGAAAGCTGATCTATAAATTTTTTAAACGAGTTTGTTTTAGCATTCTAAATAAGTAAAATTATAGGCACATATATGTGTGTACATGTAGGTATATTCTAAATGTGTGTATATGGATGATAACAGTGTATGTTAACATTATACTGATATTGTCCTTTCCTTTTGTATTCGAGACGTTCACCTTTCTTTCTTTCTTGGAATATGTTAAAAAGATCAGATATCACAATGAAATTAAACGATCCATGTGTATTTCTGGACACAAACTAATTGAGTATTTGTATATTAATTAATGCCTTGTTCCATTATCTGATCTGTCAGCATCGTTAAATATATGTATATTTTCCTATCGAGTAGGGGTGTAAACGATACGAAATAACTCGTGAGTTAGTCGAGATTGACTCGGTTAAAGCTCCGTCAACACTCGACTCGAATAGGCTCAGCTGGAACTCGAGCTCGACTCGACATATTAATGAGTCGAGTCAAGCTACCTAATACTCGACTCGAAAAGTTCGTGAGATACTCGATTATTTTATATATAATTAGTTTTAAAACATAATCAATTTTTATGATAAAATTTGTAAAATATAAATAATAAAAATGTCTTATATTTTTAGATATTTAAATAAAATTATGCATTTTTTAATTATAAAAAATTAATCAATTACTTTTTATTAAAACCGCAATTAAAAAAATACAAAGAAAAGCTATAAAAATGGTTAGTGAAATTGTCTCACAT